TAAAAAGAACATTAAAAACAACCTGTTTGCTTTAAAAAAAAATGTCCCCTGAAAATGAAATAAAAAATACTACGGGGTGCATTACCGTTGAATACCAACAAAAGAAAAAATTTTAAAAAGTATGGTGGCCACAGTTGGTCAAAATTTCGAAAACGGAAAAAAAGTATAGAAAAAGCTTCTTCCTAAAATAAGACCTCAGAAAATCTGAACAACGACAACAACAACAGCAGCAATAAAGACAATATAGCAGCCTGGGAATCGCCCTCCTGCTGGAAGTCAACCCTAAAGTGTGTAATCAACATTACGGAGTTTCTGGAGAAAGCCAAGAGTTATGCACATCGTATCATATAAGATAGGCTCTTGGTAGACCCTCAGGAATTACAGAGGGTTGAAAAATGAATTGCACCAGTCTTTGTCGCTCCACAAAGTACACCGTAATACGTCCCTGCGGGTTAAACCCCAAATAGGCATCAAGGGAAAAGGTTACTTCATGTGGGACGTACTGGTACCAATGCCTACCGACTGTGAGAGACCTCCAATCAAGATCTCAAATCTAAAGATCTCATAATCCGAACAGAATATGAGGGCATACGAAGGAACTGTTACAGTATATGAGGTTCCTCATTTTGTCTTAGGAGAACACGTATCGGGTGCAGTATGGTCAGATAGTCAGTACTACCTCCGTCAAACCGAACAGGAAATGGAATTTTGAAATAATCCTGAATCGAAAAGCCTTGATCTCCGTACTCAAGTGTCTGAAAGCGCGGAGAGACCGGTCACCTCTTATCTTCCTACCCAGAGAAGACGGCCTCTAGAGTTCTGCTCCCCGCTCACTAAAATCACTCTGTGGTCGAGTCTGTTATTTCCATTTTGCCTGTGATGAGCATTCCAACGACTGAGACCAGTGTTATAAAAACCCCAGTTGGGTTCAATGCGCTGCCCCTATTTCCCGAAAAGCCTTTCCAAATACAAAAAGGGTATTAACCGTTATACGATCGGGACAAGGAGCCCAACAAATATGAGCTTTGTTGCAAGAAGCGATTGGCGTTGTCGGTATATACCCCTGGCGTTTTTCGACGCTGATAATGTTAATAAATTGAATCCGTATTGTTCAGAAGGGCTCCCCTTTTTGTTCACCACTACCTGTATAGAGATCTGAAATTAACGTTCCCATGGGACATTGATGGTCTCTTCACAGATCCATCAAAAGTGAGATGGGCCATGGTTCAATGGGACAGGCTGTCGGTGTCCTTACCCCGGCCATGTTCAATGCAGATCCCCAACCCTAATCAGACTGATCATCCCTCTCTCGTTGTCTAGTATGAATGCCCGTGACCATGCGATCTTCAGTCTCGGGTGGATGTAGGTTGTGTACAGGAAACCTGGTTTTCCACTCGCGATTGTGATTATGATCTGTTTATTGTGTTTGTCCTCTCTTCAACATGTTTTTCGCAATCGGACGAGAATGGCGAATTCTGGAAAGAAGATGACAGTAAGAACTTCGCGTAACTGTTCCCTTGTGAAGCGAGGAGGCCCGCTGTTTACCCCGAGGCGAGTGCTTCTTCCATCGTGTATGCCGGATTGCTCTCAAGTTTCACTTATATCAGATGTTAGTAAGGAGATCCATTCAAGATGGTCTGATCGGCGAATTCGGTTTAACAAAGTAAGTGGATCGCTCCATATGGCCTTGGGAACTTGGGTTGAAATGCCTCACTAACGATGATGCATTGTCGGAGTTAGCTCCACTTTAATTCACAATTTGTCACTAGGAGGTCATTCTCCCTATATATAAATATTGGGCAACTTCTCACCTCGTTCACGTTTTTATTTTTTCATTTCAGCGACTACAATGTAAGCTCTCTTAGAAGATCCGCGTCTTCCCATTTGTGGGAGACGCCATGAACATTATACACACATATACGTGCATACGAACATTCACCAAAGAGCAAACACAAATGTTCACACACACACAAGTATTATTGTCCATTGTAAAATTTTGTTTAATACATATATATATATCTATCGGTTTTGTTTGTCTTCTTTACATCTTCAGTTGGACTTAACTTGAGTCTGGCAATTTTCAATATTCTACCAGGAGTTACACACGTTTTTCTAATACAACAACACGCAAGCACACACGGTCCACAACAGCATCACTTACCAGACTAGTGTTGCAAAAGGGCTACTGGGTCGGAAAAAAACTTCAGTGGGCTTGGAAAATTCTTCAAACTGCGTTCGCTGTGGTGGAGACTCTGGTTCATACCCTCCACTGAAAGGTCGTAGTCTCGTTGTGCAAGTTTATTGAAGACATCATGGTTTGCATGCTGTGCGGGCAGTTCTTAGCCCTTAGGGTCGTTGACTAAGGCTAAACAATATATAATCTTTTGCTTACTAGGTGTTATTCGAGTCGTGATATGGACTATGTGACAAATGGAATACTATGGAGACGATAACTTTACCTTTTCCCAACTGATCATGTTCTTTTGCATCAGCTTAAAGTCAAGATTAGGACGGCAAGGCAAAGAAACCCTCCATCAGAATTTGGAAAAAGGTAAGTGAATCTTGCGCGTCTGTGTAAAAAAAAAAGGTGTTGACTTAGAGTAGCATTTTGATGCTGGTTAGGCATTAGCCTATCGGAGAATCTGAGGTGAACCCTGTTACAGTTTTTTGTCTATATGTTATAACTAGTGAGCCAGTCCAAATGACTTAACTCTCTTTATAGTCCACCAATAGAAGGTTAACCAATCAGAAGCCGCAGAACATTCTATCCGTCGTGTATAAAGGCGGCCATTTTTGTTTACCCTACCCGAATGACCAGTGCCAACTTGTCAGGCGAAGATGACAGTAGGAAGTACTACGCTCTGCTACTTTGCTGCGATATCTACTGCTAACCTACTGTCTCCGAAATATTCACTGCTAACCTCTGGATTCTATACTCGAAGACGACTGTCAAAATGTCTAAAAAAACCTGCCCAAAATAGGTTAGATTAGGCTTATTACTACCACCATTTTGTTTAGTTTCTGGTATATATATATATATATTGTAAATATTCATTAGGTTTTCATTTTGAAAACATATTTTTATTCACGGCCTGCAAGGGCAAATTGTACATATGGGACTAGTAAGGACTTCATATAGTATTTAAGGTATTATGATGGTTATAGTAAGAATCGTAAATAAGAATGTGATGTTTGTGTGCAAGGAATATTGTATAGTTTGTTTGGGTCAGCGATTGCGGTTAGCTAAGTTTTAAGATAAAAAAAATGATGACCAGCTTCCCCATCCTCACTTTAGGCCTTGTGGTACATTTTTTGTTCCAAATAAAAACAAATATTATTTGCCTTGATAAAGTCCATCAGAGGACGAAAGAAAAATTTTCCTTTTGTTTACACACACACACACACACACACACACACATATATATATATATATATATATATATATATATATATATATATATATATAATAATAATGAACATTGAAGTCAACACTTAGAGGCGACAGTCTGTTTCATGTTAGACGCAATCGTCAGGCCACGAGTGTTGTTTTTTTTTCGGCTATTTATATATACGAGTCAGTGGTGCATTGTGGGTAATCTATTTTAGCGGTTATTTTGCTGGAAGTCGCTTGTTTATTTATTTATTTATTTATCTATTTGGGTTAAATTATTTTGCTTGTTTTTATTTATTTTTTATTTTTATTTATATTTTTTATTTGTATTTCTTATCTTATATATATATTTATTTATTTTTATTTTAATCGGTGTTTTATTAACGTAGTAAAAATTTGTTTATATCGCTTATTTAATAGTTTTGTTTTGGTTTGGGAAGATAATTAAAGCTATTTATTCAATTTTGGGGTTGATTGTTGTAGTTTATTCTAACTATTATTTTGTTGGGAGCAGTTTTTAATTTGTTCATTACTTCATTTATTTATTTGGATTGATTATCTTATCTGATTTTTCTAACGGTTAATTTATCGGGATCGGTTTGTTAGTTTATTCATTTATTTATTTGGATTAATTTAGATTAATTTATTTTACTCGTTTTTTCTTATTTCTTATACTGTATATTTTTATTTACTCTTTTCGGTTTTCGATTTTTAAGTAACGTAGTATTTTGTATCGTTATATAACACTTATAGCTATGTTTTTCGTTCGATTTTTGGTTTGATCTTTATAGTCTAACTAATATTTTGGTCATAATGGTTTGTTAATTTGTTTATTATTTACTTTATTTGGGTACATTGATTTTTCATTTATTTGTTCTATTTCGTCTATTCTAACGGGTGTGATTTGGTAATTTGTTTGGGTTAATTTATTTTACTTATTTTATTGTCATTTTGTTTATTTATTTATTTTATTTTATTTTTTCAGTTTTCGATTTTTAAGTAACGTAGTAAAAATTTGTTTTTATGTCTGCATTTTTAAATGGGCTCGGTTCGTTTATTTAATAATTTATTTTGGTCTGGGAAGCTAATGATAGCTATTTTTTCCACCATGCAAAGTTTGCAAGTTTTGGATTGGTTGTTGTATATATCTGTATACTTACCTCCATTTGTGAAAGAGTTGCTTCAGGCGATAATTTTCTAATTGGAGAGATTTCTTTGTTCGTTGGTGTTTCTCCCACAAGAAGCGATGCCAAGATCTGAAGATGCTGGAAAACAAAAAATAAGACATTCCTTTATCTCTGATTATTTCTTCATAAAAGAAAAAGTATCTGGAGGCAAACGCGTAGGCTGTTAAAAGAGAAAACAACAACTTGGTAATTTCCTACAAACAATACAGTTACCCATTCGTCCTCACAGGGTTTTCATCTAAGGTTGTTTTATTGTTCAATATACATTTCGAAAATGTTCACCTGGGAGGTAGTCATAAAAGCGAATGTCATTTTCTCCAAAAACTAGATTCACCGAAAGCGTTAAATCGAATTTTCACTTTATTGAGTGGCTCATTTCACAACTTTTATATCAAACTAGTGCCTTTTTTTTTTTTTTTAAATTATGTATCATTTTTTAAATTTAGGTGTTTATTTGCGATAATGAACACCTTTTTCTCCATGAATTCACCACTGAAGTCTTCGTTCACATAATATCGCTTAATATTGGCTTGGTGCATAATTATCAAAAATATGAGACATACCGTAAGAGCAACTGAGAATGTCGTCGTTGAATGAGAGGTTTTGTTGCCAGGGTACCTTGGGTTCGAGAGTACCATTTGTGGAATATGGCACCAAGGAGTTTCTGCTGAAGAACGACGCGGCCAAGACGGGCATCCTCCTTCTCCTCGTTTGCTTTCTTCCAAGCCTGTTTCCATTTCCAGAAAATCTCTGAAGCATAACCAAACCAAATATATATATATATATATATATATATATAGAGAGAGAGAGAGAGAGATATGAACAGTGTGATAGATAGATAGATAGATAGATAGATAGATAGATATGAACAATGTCATAGATAGATAGATAGATAGATAGATAGATAGATATGAACAGATAGATAGATAGAAACAATGTGATAGATAGATAGAAACAATGTGATAGATAGATAGATAGATAGATAGATAGATAGATAGATAGATAGATATGAACAATGTGATAGATAGATAGATAGATAGATAGATAGATAGATAGATAGATTTTACCACAAGCAAGACAGTAAAGCCACTAGGACATGAGGGGCTACTGGGCGTGGAAGAATTAGAAATCAGAAAATAAGGAGCAAGAACAAAAAAAGAGTCATCAGGAGGACAGTAGAAAACTATTGACATTGCATTTAAATTTTTGAAAATCAAAGTTGGCTGAGAAGCATGGAGTTGGAAGAGGGTTCCACAAGCGAGAAGTTCTATAAAATAAACTGTTAACATAGAACTTACGGTTACATCTAGCCATCTCAACTGTAAATTGATGAGACCTCGTCGCGAATCTGCTACGGCTCTTAAATTCATAAAGTCAAGGTACCATAGCGAAGAGCGATATTTATTCCCGCTTCAATAAAGAAAATGTGGCACAAGGCCAACAATGGGTAATGGGGAAAAGGTCTGTCTTAAATTTAAACTTAACTAGCCACAAACACTGATCCAAATATACCAGAATATTCCTAACACCAAAACAATACATTCTTACTTACCTTTCTTACTACATTCACCGTAATACCACATTGTCTCTATGAAAATCCTAACTAGTCACCATATGTACAATTCATTGTCTGCGGGGGTGGTAATAAAAAAATAATTTAAAATCTAGCCCCAATGAGCATTTACAATATGAGTACAAATCTATTTACAAGAAACTAAACAAAATAATGATAGTAATATAAAAAAAAACCACAATCCTTAAATGTGGCAGAAACCTCAGTTAACTGGACGAAATCAATGCTGGACTATTCATTCATCCCAAGCACTCACACAAACACAAACTCATTCAGACACAACGACAAATACGAAAAAAAAACGCACCTGAAACGAAAGGTGCCCCGCATCCACCAGAGAACTGACATCACTGACCACCTGATGGGGAATGAAACCAAAGAAAAAAATGAAGACAAAAATAAATGGGACCAATGAGCATAACAAAGGGCTTATCCGAACCGTTGCCATGGAAACATTTATAGAAAAGGCACAGGGAAGAAACATTATGGTGCTGGAAAATTGACTGAAGCCGAGACGTCAGGTCAGGACCAATAATATTGCTGATTCTTCTTTGGATTCTATCAATAATTTCTAAATATATAGCAGAGGCACTAAGCCATATTTGGCAGCAAGATTTGAAGCATAGAAGAACGGCAGACTTATATATATATATATATATATATATATATATATATATATATATATATATATATATATCAGGTCATCCATAAGTTCTGTCCGAAAATAAGTGACCAAATGTTACATTTAATTAAAGATTCAATCAACAATGTATTTTCCCTGATTATCGATGACTTCCTTCCATATATTAACAAGCTTACTAATTCCATTAATGTAAAATTCTTTTGGCTTTGATACGAAGAACTCACAATTGTTTTAACCTCTTCCTGTGTTACAAAAGCTGTTTCTTTCAAATGATGATTCTGTAAGCTACGAAACAAATGGTAATCTGAAGGAGCAAGATCGGGAGAATAAGGTGGATGAGAAATTTTCTCCCAACCAAGTTCTTCGATCTTTTGTGACGTGATTCTTGCTGTGTGGGGTCGCGCACTGTCCTGATGAAACATCACCTCTTTTCGATTCACGTGAGCAGATCTTTTTTCCTCAAAGCTTGGTTCAAACGCTCTAATTGCTGATAGTATATTTGAGCATTAATTGTTGCATTAGGTGGTAAGAATTCAAAATGGATTATTCCTTGGCGATCCCACCAGATTAAAAGAAGAACCTTTTGCCCATGAAGTTCCCTTCTCGGCTGTGGCTGGGGTCCTTCCCCTTTACTAAGCCACTGTCTACGACGCTTAACATTTCGATAAAAAATCCATTTTTCGTCGCCAGTCACATCCAAAAAAGGTGAAACAAGTTGGCGAGAATGGAGAGAAGAGCTGATGTCAACTCGGGATTTGAGGTTGTTTTCAGACAATTCATGAGGCACCCATTTCCAAGTTTAGGAACTTTTCCAAGTTGTTGAAGATGACGATGAACAGTTGTATGGTTTGAACTGAGAACCACTGCCAATGGTAGACACAATCGTCAGGCGACCCGGCTATTGCGTCTAGCATGAAACATCCTGTCGCCCCTGAGTGTTGACTTCAATCTTCACGTTTATATTTACATACGCTGTATCTCTGATATTGAGAACTTTATCCCATAAATATACCACATCTTAAAATTATATTTCTAGTGAAGGTGTTTCTGTAAAAGTAAGCGTAACATGCGTGTGTGATAGACACATGTGTGTATATATGCATGTGTGTGAGAGAGTTCAAAAGACAACAAAGGACCAAGGGAAGCAAACGCGTCTCTGCGGAAGCGTTCTTATCGACGTGCGATCTACATTTTACGTCCTTGTACTGCTTATTTATAGGCTTACGAGCGTCCCCTAGCGACGGTTTTTAAGAAAGTAAGTGAGGTAACTCCCCACAACACAATAGGATAATGATGAAAGACTTTTGTATACATTTCAGTGAAAATATTGTATATTTTAAAGAATATATACGTATACAGAGATAAAATGTTTCTTGCTCATCTGTAGGAGCCACCCGTCTTGTGATCTCGGCGTTTTAGGTGACTTGGGTATGTTGCGCGCATCGATAACTCCAGAATTCCCAAAAAAATACTGTATGGTAAACAGTCTGGGGTAACGCGTAACTTTGCCCGACTCATGCTTTGCTTCAAGGACCAGTGTAAAACGTCAATGATGGAATCTTCTAGCAATGTTGCAAACAGGGATGCTGTTGCCCGGGATCGAGTAAGGTGGAGAGCTGCTGTTTTCACGAGAACAAAGAGCTATGAAGAGAATAGAGTCCAGCGAGCCGTGAGGGGGGGGGGTTGCTAGACAAAGATACAAGTGCCCCACGATGAATGACTCCATAGTATTATACTGCTGTAGCCGTTGCCAAAAACCGTACCGATCGTAACATTGGTTATTTTAGCCATGAGCGGCACTGTGTTTTCAGATAACTTATTTTCCGCTGCCGACCGTCGCCATCAAGGAAAAAGGACATATTGGAGCCACGTGATCTGTCTGAGCACTGTCCACGGACATCTGCTTTGTTTGGCCGTCGAAGATGAAGAGAATGAACATTTGATGTCTGTTTCAATTGGTGGCGAAAACGCCTGTTCCGGTGCATGATGGGAGTTTTTATATTTATTTAACCATTTTTTTATAATCTCATTTTTTCTTTCTTTACTGTTAATTATCATTCTTATCAATATTTTAAAATAATTTTATTACTTAACTTTTAATTTTTCTTTTATTATTATTATTATTATTTTGGTTTCATACTCCTGAATAGTCTAGTACTAAGGGTTAAAGGTTATTTATTGATTTATTTGTTGATATCACTACAGATTCAATATAGTCTTTCCACTTCATTTCCGCCAAGAATGTTCACCCGATTATTTGAGTTGAGAAAATTCCAACTAAAAATTTATATATTTTTTTTTCAGTGGTTGAATCTGTATTTCGATTATTGATAAATGAAAATTATGAGTTCTGTAAAGAAAACCATTTTTCCGATATTGATACGTGCAAAAATCAAAAAAAAATTGGTAAAGAATTTACCCTTTTGTATCAAGACATTTCTCAATGGTTCAAACAGCAAAGCTCTTTTATTAAGTGTTGTTTGGTGATAGGAATCCTTCCATCTTCTGGCCGCTTTCCTATAAATAAGAAACAATGAGATGGATAATAAAAAGCTGGACGTTATCAAAGGGCAGAAAATTTGTAAGGGAGATAATTCATTAGATAATTGGGTGATAAAAAAGTAAAACAATTCGGCCATGTTTAACTTTCGTGCCCCCACACAAAAAAAAACGTCTTTTTAAAGTTGTGTTCACCCTATGTAAGGTCCTGGGGCCAATCGAGGCACAGGGTTACAGAGTAAATGATAGAGGTTATATGGATATGTGCAGTGTACCTTACTTATTTCATGTTTACTTATCATCTATCAGTTGCGTCTCTGTCTCTTGACAGAGTGCTCTCAGGGGCTTCTCTGGCAAAGGACAGAGGGGCAACTGAGGAAAATTATACTGAAGAGGTGTCCAGCCCTGGGGAACAGCTGCCCGAGGCCGCGCCCTCCCATTGCATCAGAGAGAGGGATCAGTGCTCGCACCGAGGCCAGCGCAACCGACGGTTGCGGGAGCTGAGGGGAATTTTTTAGTGATCCTTGAAGCAGCCTCTTGGGAGTTGGTTCCACAAGGTTCGTGGAAAGAAGCTATTTGAGTGTAACTTACATTTCACCAGAGGGATTTGAAGGGAATGAGGGTGCTTCACTACAACGTGTGTGGCATAGCAGTGTTATTATTCATCATGATGATATTTCATTATAAAAAAAATAATAAAAATAAAAATCTGAAATTTCATCATTATAAAAGTAGCTTTTCCACTATGGCAAGAGACGTTGCCTTTTCATCACAAAAAGTATGGGGATTTTAAAAGAAAAAAATGCGTGCAAAATAAATGTAAACAAACTACAGAGATCTGTCGGAGTTAGCTCCTTAATTCCCAAATTGTCACTAGGGGTCATTCTTCTTATACTATAAATACTGGGCGACTTCTCGTCTTGTTTTCTTTTTCATTTCTTCATTTCAGCGACTACAATGTAAGCTCTCTTAGAAGATCCGCGTCTTCCCATTTGTGGGAGACGCCATGAACATTATACACACATACACGTACGTACGAACATTCACCAAAATACGAACATTCACCAAAGAACAGACACCTATGTTTACACACACAAATGTTATTGTCCATTGTAAAATTGTTTTGTTTAATACATATATTTGTTTATATATATATATATCGGTCTTGTTTATCTTTTTTATCATCATCAGTTGGACTTAATTCAAGTCCGGCCATTTTTTTTTTTTTTTTTTTGTTGGACCTTTTAATATTCTACCAGGCGTTACACACGTGTTTCTAATACAATAACACACAAACATACACCGGTCCTCCACAGATCGGTTGTGTATACGAAGAAAGATTGTGCCGAATTAAGGTGTCGAATAAAGATAAAATAGATACAATTTTTCCACCACAAGCAAAGAGAGGGTAGTAGTAAAAAAAACAAACAACAAAAACACATACTGATCGAGACATATTTTCTTCACTCCATGAAAATCCAGAGTTGACAGTTTCAAAGGCTTCCCTTAACAAAATTTTCAAAACTATTATAAACAAGACCAAATTTTGAAAGAAACCAAAAGAGAAAATAAACCTGAGGACATTTAACACACACACAAAGTCAGTTTTGTAAATAACATCACAAAAATACACATTTTTGTTATTGATTTCAAAACATTGATAAGTCTTGTTTCCTGTATTTTATATGTTGTACATTCTATTCATTTCATTTTCAGTATAAAAAAGAAAAGGAATCCTCTATCAACTATTAATAAATGTAACATGGGGTAACTTACATTAACCCATTAACTGCCAATTTTTTTTAATGCGCATTTTTGGCGCAGATAGGTGTCTTAGAAGTTTATTTATTCCTTATGTTTCATTTCAGTAGTCACCATTGTCGTTTTTATAGAAACTAGAACATCAAATATATATGTGTATAAAACATCAAAAAATAATATTAATTAAAAATAATAAAAAAATACTTTTCAAAATAGTCGTTATTTTTCTACTCGTAAAATGTAAAATTACGACAGAAAGTGTCTTCTTACGGCTAATAATAAAAACTTTAAAGGCTAAGTGTTGTAAAATATATACCTCTGCAAATGTATGTAAGCAATTCAATGTAAATACAAGGAATAACATGTAATGAGTTTAATTTTAACATATCCCCAAATGAGGCTCATGGCAGGTAATGGGTTAACAACACATACATTGACCCCGTTGCAGCAGGTCTGGTGGGACTAAGGAGTGTATTTCATCTGAGCACTCACCCTGGAAATAGCGATAGAGAAGCGAGAGGTTTGCGACATCTCGTCTGTGAGAACGTGATTTCAGAGTGGGAAACAATTTGTCGCTTACAAGGAGGTGGATACGCTTTTGGACTCTATCCAGAGTGAAATGTGAAGACTAGCAGCTCCTGTCCATATATAGCAGCTGTACTCCCCTTTTGGCCTGATTTGGCTCTTAGAAAATAGAGGATAGTTGAATAATTTAACACATTCGACATTATGGATGAAAAAATAGCGAATTTTATATAGTGTTTTTCAAGACTTAGTATGAGGAAAACAAATTCACGGATTTGGACGAAGAAAAAAAACAATGATGTCAAAATCTATGAATTTCTTTTTTATTCAGTTGTGCTTAGTTTAATTTGTAATCTATATAAATATAGGTAGAAAAAGGCAAATGTTGATAAGATAGCGTGGGTCACAAAGCATTGCCCAGGGCCCCTAATCAGGTTACATCCACCCCCGGTTGCAGGGGTTGGGGTTAGTATGCGCTACCCCTGTTAATATGCATGGAAAAGAAAGAAAACATTAAAACTTAGGAATTGTGTGATTGATACATGCTTGTGTGCGTGTGTTAAAATTTAGTCCTAAACGGGAAAGATATCCAAGGTCCCGGTAGATGTTGTCACAACAGCATGCTGGGAAAAAAACGAGAGAAGTGAGAGTGGACAGGAAGTGAGCCGTTTTTGTTTTTTTGGGGTTTTTTTTGGTTTTTTTTGTTTGTTTGTTTTTTAGCTATTTGACAGCGTCCTCTAACGTCTTGTTGGCGAAATTAAGTGGGGGTAACTCACAGACTAAAACAATGTCTTATCAATGGAATTATATATAATTCCATATATATATATATATATATATATATATATATATATGTATATATTTGTGTGTGTGTATGCTTGTGTGTGTGAGGTGGGGTATTATATAACGTCGGTTGTAATTAGGCATCAAGGGGAAACGCTGAAGATGTTGGGACGCTAAATTTATAAATTCTGGTATCCGACGTGTCTAGACGCACTGCTCGAAGAATCTAATTCGGTTTCTCAAAGCTTTTGTCTTTTATCGCTGTCGTTTTTAAATATCGCTCACCTAAACAACAAAAGAGCTGTTAAGAAGGAAAAGAAAGAAAGGTCTTAAATAAAGACATTTTTAATAAAGAATACCTGCCCAACAAAGACTCTCGGATGCACAGGCCGGGAGATGTAATTCACACTGTTAAAAATGCGCCCACGTGTATCAACTAAAATATAAGGTTTGAAGTAATAACGGTAATGGTAGTATTATCCGTTTCTTTATGAGGAAAAAAATCGAAAAATAATTTTCTCAAGACCTGTCCAATTATTGTTATTGCTCGTTCAATTATCGATGGAGTGCTACTTTCTCTTTCTTTGAAGTAGTGCGGAACGTCAGAACCTTGTTGGATTACCCCCACTTGGTTTACCAAGACACCGTAAGTGGCGTTGTTTTTAGGAGCTATAAAAGTGCGGCACATCCTGTTTCTTCCCATTTTTCCTTCATTTCTTTAAGCATGCATTAGTAGCAACACCAACACGCAACACAGTCCCGGCTTGGGGATATCTTTCCCTGTGTGACTAAACTATTTCACACAGACACACACAACTACTAATAGCTAAATTTTAATGCCTTCTTTTCAAATATTTTGCATGCATACAAGTATATCTTTATTTATTAATAATCATTTATTAGCCATATATACAAAATATCTCCGCCTTGTTGAAATTTATTCCATTACCTTTCGCCTATTCTAACAATGACGACCAGTCGTTTACATATGAAAATTTGGTTTTCGACTGCTTTTAGTTGGGTTAGAACCAGTATCGTAACAGCTCTTAATATATGACTCGTTACCTATACTCTCTTCCATATCTTCATAGCGGTGTTCAGAAACAAAATAAGAAGGATTCAAGACTGTATCGATGCTAACAAGCACCCCTTTCAACA